TGGCACGCGTATGCGTGTGATGTGAGAGGGCGCCGAGACTTCTCAAACGCATTAAGAAAGGTCAGCCGCCTGGGACAACGCGCCCTGCACGGTGTATCAGTCTCTCTGATGGAGGGCTCCGCTCAGCACGCGCTGCCATGTTTCCCCTGCGTCACACAGCCCTTATCGAACTGGAGATACAACTGCGGAAATGCACATATACACATATATACATACGTACATACATTTACATACAGACTTACGTGTGTGTATATATGCGTGTGTATGCGCGCGCGTGCGTCGAGGGACCCATCGGAGGCGGTGGTGGGTGTTGTCCTGCAGCCGCCGAAAATGGAAGGGGGGCGGTGCGCCGTCACGGGCGCAGGCCGAACGCCAAGCTACGCGGCAACATATACGCCAGGGGACGATCCACGTGCACCCACAAGGACGTGCATATAGAGACAGATCTGTGCACATTGAATCATGCACGCATCTATATATATGTATATATGAACAGATATATACATCTATACTGTTATATGCATATATATGTATATATATATATATATATATTCATGTTGTGCGCGCGCACTCGTGTAGATAGATGTGCGTAGATACATGCGCATGTACTGTACGACGGTGTGCGCACGCGTCGCGTCTACATGGCACCCGCCAGGTTGCGGCTATGATCAAATTGCCTGTCGTCCGTTCGTATATACACATGGGCGCTAACACATCGGAGTACATGCTGGCACGCGCGCTCATGCACACACAGATAAGCGTGCACGCACCTACATAAACATGCGTATATACATAGCAAGCACATTAATGCAAGTACATACACATGTTTTACAATAATATTTGTGCATGCGATATACGCACAGGCACGCGCGCACGCAGAAGCGAGCTCACACTTTTTCATGGCAACATATACGCCAGGACTGGGCGCCCCATTCGCCTGCGCGCCAGCGGCCGCGCCACCGTGGCAACGCGCCCAGATGGGCCATTTCGCGCGCATGCCCGCCCAGGGGCTTCCCATCTACCCAGTAGCCCCGACGGCGGCAGCGGCAGTGGATTTGGGCCCCGAAGGTGGGGCGGGGGGCGGGGGGGGAGGGGGCGCGGCGCTCCTCTGGGAGCTGACATGTTTCCCTCCAGGGGAACAGATTTGCTCCCCTAGAGGGACGCGCGCTGATCCCTCCACGGCACGTGAGGCCGCGAGGGGGCGGGGCGTGTTGGGAGGGTAGAAGGCGGTGGGGGTTTGCTCGCCGCCGACCTGTTAACCTCCCCCACGGCCCCCGCGGTGCTCATTCGAGGCCACGATAGCGCGCTGCGTAAGCCCGAGGGCCCTCGCGGCGCCCCCACGGACCCCTTTCGGGGGGCTTCGAGGCGCCCAGGAGCGCGCTCATTTCCCTTTGGGGGGGCACATTGCGAGCGCAGAAGGCGAGTGTACCCAACCGTGGCAAAAACCACGAAACCACGAAACCGTGGAAAAAAAACATGAAACAACAACGAAACAAAAACACGAAGACCGTGAAACCACGAAACCACGAAACCGTGAAACCGCGAAAAAACAATGGAAAAAACACATAAAAACACGATCGACCATGAAACCGTGAAACCATGAAACCACGAAACCACGAAGGAACCATACAAAGACAATGAAAAAACACGACGACCGTGAAACCGTGAAACCACGAAACCACGAAAGGACCACGAAACGACCATGAAACAACCATGAAGACCACGAAACCACGAAACCGTGAAACCGTGAAAGAACCATAAAAAGACAATGCAAAAAAAACACGAACGACCATGAAACCGTGAAACCACGAAACCATGAAACCACGAAACCACGAAACCGTGAAACCACGAAAGGACGACGAAAAAACAATGAAAAAAACATGAAGACCACGAAACCATGAAAACACGAAACCACGAAACGACCACGAAAAAACCATGAAAAAACAATGAAGACCGCGAAATTATGAAACAATTGAAAAAACACGAAAACATGAAACAACAATGCAAAAACCATTGAAAAAACCACGAATACCACGAAACCACGAAACCATGACAAAAAACCATGCTGGTTTTCGTAGACCGCGAGAGAAAACCACGATGGCCTTTTCGGGGCTCGGAGCGGCACTCCATGGGGGCGGTGGGGGCCTTCGGGGTGGCTTCGGGGGGCGTGCTGGGGTGTCCCGCGATCCGCATGAGGGGCATTGGGGTGGGTGGGGGGGCCCCTGGCGGGGCCTCGGGGGTAAGGGTGTAGCTTTGGGGGTGGTCGGCGGGCTTATAAGCCACCCACCGCCCCCAAAACCATGCCCCCAATGAGATCACCAGTGCACTGGCGGTCTCATTGGGGGGTGGATTGCGTTTGGGGGGGCCTTACGGGGGGCACCAATTCCCCCCCGGAAGGGGTCCGATGCGCGCGGGCACCCCTGTGCTCTCCGTTCGAAGTCAATCCGCTCTCCGTAAGTCAATGCGCCAAGCGCCTTGAACAAGTCTATGCCGTTCTGCGGCAGCTCGCACCTGCGGCGGGCGCGGGCGCTCTCTCTCCCGCCATCCCCCCCCCCCTCCTTAGAGGTCGCACTACGCGAACCGGAGGGCGGGGGGCGGGCTGGGGGGTGGGGGTGGGCGGGTCGGCGGCAGCATGCCCGCGGGCAGTGAATTCCCCCCGCAACGATTGGCTTAGTGTTTCCCCCTGACATACACGCACACATACACGCGCGCACACCTGCGCTTGCAGTTGTACGAATGTATACAGCTGTATGGATCGTTTCGCTCTCTATATGTATGTATGTATGTATATATATGTATATATATATATCAACATTTCTGAATACACCCCCATATTGTATACGTACATATGTGTATGGCTGTGCGTTCGTGCGCTGCTAGTGTGTAGGCAAATTCAGGCGCACGCGCACTACATGTACATGCGTATATGTTGGAATTCAAAATGCACGTGCATATCAATGTGGTGTTATAGATGTGTACCATGGGGTGGGACATACCAGGTACAGGTGTACACCAGTACAGCGACTGACACACGTGATGTGTGTATCTTGCGAGTCCGCACTTCCTCTGCTAAGCCCGTGCGCGCGTATCTGCACCATTCTTGCCACATATGCGCATGTGCACGTCGCACGTCCATTTTCACATATGCATATGAATTCATATGTATGCATGTATATATACATATGCACATATTAACATACGCATATAGGCATGTATACATTCATATACGACGACCAAGGCACTGCCGACGCACCTCGAGCCCCCGCCCCACTCGAGCGACTGCCAGCTAGCAAACAAACGCATAGTCGAGGGGGACGGGGAGTTGTCACCATCCCCCCCCCCCTGTAGGCGACACCACAGACCATGAACGAAACATTCGAGTGCTATCATATGTAGTCGCAGCCACTTAGATATGCATGTTGAAGTTGGCATCACCATATTGGTATACACATACAGGTGCGTGCACACATCTGCGTGTATACATATACCTGTATACGTACACTCACATGGATGCATACCCATACGACTGAATCTGTAAGTGCGTCTACATGTGTGTACGTACACGCCCATGGCCCCCCCTCGTCAGCGCACATGCCTCGGGCCATGATGCGCATCCCCCTCTTCCTGACAGCAGTCTTCGGAGTACTTTAGATGGGGAAAGGGTGGGCGCGAAACTTGCGGCATGCAGCTGGTCTCGGCCCCACCGCCGGAGGTATCCTCATTACATCGGCGCCTCCGGCGTCGCAAGGCGCCGGGAAAGCCAGCTACCTGAGCTGATTGGTCACCCTTCCCTACAACACTCCCATTCCGCATTGGTCCCACCCGATCTTGGAGGAAGAGGACGGTACATGCCAGGCCGGCCAGGGAGCCGCCCAAATGGGGTCGGAGTAGATGGTGTCGGAGGGATTTGCAGATGGATATGGTGCCGCGGCCCTGCCGCGCGGGACTGCGGGCCCTTCGGTGCCACCGACCCTCAGATCCGAGCGCTAGAAAAACAGCACGACGGCTGACTTTGTGGACGTCCTCTGCCTCTGAAGGTCCGTTTCGGGCCGTGAGGCCGTTCACATAAACGCTTCTGAATGTGAAAGTTAGCACCCATACCTATGCGACCCCCAGATTTCTTGGGGTGGAATTCTGTTAAGGGGCTATGTGTGTGTGTGTGTGTTGTCGGATGGGGTCCCCCTGGAACGGGAGCCCCCCGCGGGTTCTGACATGTCGCAACCGTACCTCTTTGCCCTTCCCCCTTACTCCTCCTTACAGGTTTGAGCATGTGTTGCTCTTTCATCAGCGCCGGCCCTGGGGAAGGGGTCGAGATCCCCGGGGCCCCGTGGCCATCAAAGGGTTGCGACGCTGGAGGCGAGGGCTCAGTGCCACCGAGACAGGCACAGGTACCCTGTCACGGGCGCTCCAGCAGTGCGCAGGACGGTGGCAGGAAGGGGCGCCTCTCGTGCGCGGGGTCGTCGTGTGGGGAAGTGCCAGGGAGAACGCCAGCTTCCTGCATCGATCAAGGTCCCCGTCCACTGAGTGCAAGGTGGCGCAGAGCCCTGAGGTGGGGGGGGCAGAACGGGACAGCGGTTTGCGTGGAGGCGGCGCGGTTCTGCTCCATCTTTCCCAGCAGTGCGCCCGGCCCAGAAGATGGATCGGCGCAGCAGCAGTGCATCTCACTGCAGGACTCGGCGACAGGAACCAGGAAAGGAAGGGAGCGGAGGAGGGCGAAGTGGGGATGGAGCGGGCCGCGAGACACAGACGACGAGACGGCGGGCCAGGGGAGGGGTCGGTCATGAGCCTGCAGCAGTTAGTAGTTAGCCCCTGAACCTATAGGCCTACAGGCCCTGCCGCTGGCAGCGCGGATCTGTGTTCGGTGCGGCTGCCACATCCTGGCACGGCGCAACGGACTCACCATCGAGTCAATGAGTCAATCCAGCTCGGCAGTTCTTACTCGTGCCCTCGACGAAGGCCTCTCCCTCGACAGCGGGCTGGGGCGCGCGTGACACCCCCAGGCAGGGTGAGCCCGGGTGCCTCCCGCTGGCGGCCCCTGGAGCGGCGGCGTCGGGGGCTTATCCTCCTCGCCGTCGTCGTCGCCATGGTCGAGGATCGCGGCTCGGAAGGTTCGGGGAGAAGGAGAAGAAGGTGGACGATGAGGAGCTGGAGTTCCCAAGGGCCTCCGTGGGCCTCGTCGTCGTCGTCGTCGTCGTCATCGTAGTCATCGTAGTCATTCGTAGTCGTAGTCGTGGTAGTTTTCGTCGTGGTTGGCGCTGTCGCCATCGTTGTGGTCGACGGCGTCGTTGTCGTGAAAGTCATTGCCGCGGGTGTTTTTTTTGTCCTTGAACTCTCTGGAGGTTCAAAGCGGCCTCTTATCAGCCTCCTTTCGGCCACCCGCCAGCCTCTCCCGTTCCTATTCCTGCTCTTACTACTTCTCCTCCTCCTCCTCCTCCTTCTCCTCCCCAAGATGTCCCTGGATCATGAATTCCTTCTGTCAGAATTTGTAAAGATGTGTGGCTGGGGAGCGTCAGGTTAGCCGTCTCGCCGTTTGGCTCAAGCGCTTTGAGTTACCTTTCCATGTCGCACGCGTTTAACATCGTTCATTGTACGTGTTTACCTTGCGAGATCGTCAGAAAGGATTCCTGTTCAACTTGCACCTCCATGTGCTCGAATAAGTGTCGCACACGTCCTCTCAGAAATCTCGACCCCTTATCCTCGGCCTTCGGTCGTCGACGGGCAGACCGAGGCCAGGGTCTCCGCAAGCTGGCGCAGACGGTCCTCCTCCCTCGGCTGTCGACCCCTCGACTGCCGGACCGATGCTGTCGATCTTCTCGGCCAGCACACCACCTCCCCTCCTCCTCCTCCTCCTCCACCTCCTCCTCCTGTGGCTCCCTTATGCGTCGGTGGCTGCAGGGGCCAGGACGGCCCCGTGCGGGGCCTTGTCTGCGGCCCTGGTGCGTAGAGCTTCGGCATTGGCACGCATTCCAAAGAGAAGGTTCACCGCGTCACGATGCCTCCAGTCAGTCTTGAATGTTCAGGGCCCACTGCTGCGCGATTTTGACATTGGGTGAGTACAGTACTCACTGGACTACCAGACAACATGGCGCTAAGGGTGTGCGTATCGTATCGTATCCTCCTCCTCCTCCTCCAGCCGTTCTGGCTCAGGTGATTCCTGAGCTTGGCGAGGCAAACTTCAGAACGGCCTGCCTCGTCGGGCCAAAGTTTCTACGCGCTTTGCGTTCCAGCTTTCACTGTCCTTCAGCAGCCGGCCGCATGACTGGGGATGGCTCCTTACTCCGAGGTGCTCGTCTACCTCTGTGGTCCTGCTCGCAGTGCTCTCGCACTGCGAATTGGGCTTGCCGTATCACGTGTCTTTGCGGTGCTGCTGCTCCTGCGCGTGTGGTTCAGGCAGCCCGCAAAAGTGAGAAAGAGTGGGGGCATCGCAGCGGCCAACCCCATCTGCACCTCGGGCGCTAAGGGAAGGTGGGCTGATGGCGGCCCGTCGACCCCCGACCTGGTCGCCACCATCACCGCGGCGCTCGAAAGGAAGTTCGATCAGAAGTTCAAGTCGCTCAAGGACCCGAAGACTGGACAGGCTGCTGGCCAGGCTCCTCCGCCTACTGCTGGCGACGCTGCTGCTGGTGATGATGAGCAGTCGCAGCGTGGAGCGCGAATCGAGTCCCTTGAGAAGGCACTCCGACAGATTGGCGACGTCGCCGGCGATGATCCAGCCAAGCAGTGCTTCGAGTCTCAACTTCGAGACGCTCGCAAGGCACAGAGAGATGCCAAACCCGTGTCGCAGCAGCGCACCAATGTGGCCTTCCGCTTGCAGACTGCGCAGAAGAAGCAGTCCAAGGCTGGCGAGGCTGTCGCTGCCCAGCAGAAGCTCATCGAGGAAGCCCAACGCTCGCTTCATGAGCTTCAGGAGGAGGAGGAGGCCATCAAGCGAGAGGTGGCGGCCTTGCAGGAGGAGCTGATGCAGCGCGCCCACCTGCCGATGTCAGGTTCGAGCTGCACCCAGAGCTCCTGGAGGCAGAGGGTAATGCTGACGTTAAGGAGGTCATGTCCATCCCCATCTTCGCCAAGTACCAGCAGCTGTTCAAGGCGTCGGTTCCTCCTGCTGCTTCGTCGGACCCTGGCGCTGGTGCAGCGGCAGGGGCAGCAGCAGGACAGCAAGGTGCTGCAGGTGGAGCTGCTGATGCACCAATGCCGCAGGCGCCAGCGTATGAAGGTTCATCGTCAGAAGAGGTCGATGATCTGCTCAAGCACGTCGGCGACAAGCGTGCGTTCGAGCAGCAGCTGGAGGCCACGGGCATCAAGCGGGCGAGGACAGCGGCGTCTTCCTGACGCCCCCTTTCTTAGTGGCCTTCCTGTCTCTGCTTCAGGTCATGTCGTTCCTCAGCATAAGGGGCATCGACAGCGGGCTGAAGCTCCGGGACCACAATTCTTCGAAAGTTTCAATGGTAATTGCAGGGCCACACTACTTGAACGGTTGCGTAGTCGTGACTCTCTGATTGTGCGTGCGCAGGAGATTGGCGCAGGTCCTGATGCTGTTCCAGATCTTCAGCCTGCTGCTCGTGCGATAGGCTATCGAATGCTATGCAGTCCTTCACGATGCTGCGCGCACGGTTCTCACTCAGCTGGGGTAGCCATTTTTGTTCAGCAGCATCTCGGGCTCAGATGGAATCCCACCGGCGGTGATCTGGCCAAACGGCGTCTCATCTCAGCAGTTGTGGACATCCCAGCCTGGCCTCCACTGGTGGTATATTCAGCTTATTTTCATGATAGTGTCGGCCTCAATGAGGCCAACATGAATCTGCTCTCTGTGCTTGGTGGGTCAATTTCTCGCTCGACTGGTTCCTTCTTGGCAGGTGCTGACTGGAATGTTGAGCCGTCTACCATCGAGCAGAGTGGGTTTACTCGCAAGGCTGGTTTGATTATACTTGCTCCAGTTCGCAGTGCTTGCATCATGTCGTCCACGTCCAGTACGATTGACTTCTTCTTGGCATCTCATGATGTTGTTCGAGCAACTGAGAGGGCCACGTAAGCCAGTTCGACTACATCTCCGACCTGATGCAGTTTCGCTAAGGCAATTGGTGTTATGTGAACATACCCGCTTTCCTGTGCTACCTCCGTTCGGTCCTCTCCCTGAGCCCCGCAGCTATGCGGCAGCGAGGCAGATGGCGGATGATGCGACATACTCGGCGGAGTTCGATCCAGTTTCTAAGGCATGGGCACGTCTCAACCAAGCTTGGGCAGTTTTCTTGCAGGATGCTGAGTTGGAGATTGCAGCAGCCTTAGATTTTCCGATGGAGAAGTTGACGCGGTACCACTACCTTGCTCGCAGATGGGTTCTTGTCTCGGGGCGCAAAGATCATGCTCAAGACCCCGTGCTTGTTGCACGCGGCTGGCAGTGGTTATATCGTGTTTGGCATGAGTTTGAGATAATGGCCAAGAGTGGCAATGTGCTTCACAATGATCCAGCGGCAACCTCACTCAAGCAAACGACACTTGTTGAGAATTACCCTGGCGAAGGGCTTGATGCACGGCTGGGCCCACAGGCGTCGGCACTCCGCAGCCTTATTCGAGATTATCCTGCACCAGGCCAGTTGTGGCACCACCACCTGGCAGGCCAAAACGAGCAATTGTGACACCGCCACCCGGCAGGCCACAGCGAGCACTCTTGGTGGACCTTAGCCACGCAGTATGGTGAGCAGTTGGCCATCGGGTTTGAAGCTGCAGCGCAGGAGGCATCGAAGCTACGACAACAGTCCTGGAATGAATGGTGCGACCAGGCCCTGAAAGGCTCGGCTAAGCTCATGCACGCGATCCCTCGTTTGCAGCAGGTGCGGTGCCCGACGGTGGCTGAGAAAGCGCCGGGCGTCTTTTCTAGCAGCCCAGAGGCTGTACTCAACGCGGAGGTCGAGGCGCTCCAGCAGCAGTGGAATGCTTCCTTTACGCCACCGCGTGCACGCGTGCCTGATCGCGATTGCCTTCCTCGCGCCACTGCTGAGGAGACTAGAAGTGCATCGCGGAAGTTCTGTCAGTTCACTTCGTCTACGCTTGGCGGCTTCCACCCGAAGCATATATGTTTGCTTGGCGATGCTGGGCTGGGAACTCTGAGCGTCTTATTTGAAGGAGTGGAACACCTCGGTCTCTTCCCTCGGCATTTTCTCTGGATGGTTTTCCCTCCTATTGAGAAGCCAGCAGGGGGGCATCGTGCCATCCTGTTGCTGGCCAGCTTTGCGCGCGCATGGGAACGGCTTCGCCGACCACTGCTGGACAGATTCTTTGCCGCCACGGAGAGAGCTTACTGGGCTTTCGGTCCTGGGAAGAGTGCTGAATCCTGCGTTTGGGCCCAATCGGCCCTTGGGGAGATAGCTGCCGCTGATTGCAAGATTGTCTTGGGGGTCTAGTGGGGCGGTAAGAAATATTTTGAATCCTTTCGGTTGGATCTCCTTCGGCAGCGAGCTTTACGATGGGGCGTACCTGGGGCCATAGTCAAAACGATGTTCAATTTGTGGCGCTCTCCGCGACTGGTAAGGTTAGGACCCGCCTTTCATCTTGTCGCTCTTTTTGCAGAAAGCGGCCTCCCTGCAGGGGACATGTTCAACGATGCTTTCGTAAAGGTGTACGCCATAGGTGCCTCTGACGACTTCACGGCTCGGTTCCCTGCTCCTATTCGACTCTCGAGCTACGTCGATGATGACACGATAATGGCTGCGGGTGATCGGGCTACGCTGCTCAAACTGGTTCCAGATGCTGCTGAATATTTTTACCACACGTTTCGAAATCAACTTAAGGCGGACATATCTGAAACCAAAGCTATCACGATTGCGAGCTCCCCAGAGTTAGCTCGGGCCCTAGCTCGCCAACTACAGCTCCGAGGGCCCCCTGCAGGCATCATCGCGCACTCGTCCGTGAATCTCGGGGTCGAGTTTACGCCGGCTCAGATCAAGGCAACTAAAGGGGCTCTTCGGAAACGTCGAGAACGGTTTCGACAGTTTCGCCTCTGTCATTCGCGAGTTCTCCGATTTCGGAAATGGCTCTCTCATGGTAAGCACCGTATGGCGATTATTCATCAGGCTGGCCTCAAGCCAGCACTGGCGCATGGCAGTTCTGTTCTCGGTATGGCCGACTACGAGTTGCAGCGAGCTCGAGCTACGCTGCTAAGTTTTCGCTCGCCCTCACATCGAGGTGGTCCCTTGCTGGCTAAGATGGTGCTCCACGGCGATCCAATGGCCGACGTGTGCGATGCCCCTGCAGTGTCTTGGTCAGTGGCAGTCTGGCAGGCCTTGGTTGCACCAGAGCGCTCTCTTTTCAGCATTCGCGAGCTCCACAATATGTACGCCACCGTGCACGAGAGAATGGAGCCCCACCATCGTTGGCGACATACACGCGGACCCATATCTCGAATGCTCCTCTCTCTCAGGCGTGTGGGTTGGAAGGCGCGCAACTTCGCACTTTGGGAGGATGATCGAGGAGTAGAAATATCGCTCATGTACACGGCCCCGAATATGATCAAAGGTAAGCTTAGAGATGCAGTTCAACGTAAGCATGGGTGTGACAGGGCTTATAGCTTAGACAACTTTGAGCATGCACGCGCGTGTACTGATATTGTGCGCAATGTTGTGTGTAAGTCTAAGAAGTATACGCCGCGTCAGAAGTATGCTGTAGCTAGCTGTTTTTTTTTAAGGCGGTTTTCACATCGGATCGTCTTCAGATTGATAGTGGACTCTGCCCGTTATGCGGAGGCTCCGATAGTGTTTTCCACAGGCCCTGGACTTGCCCCTGCCCCCGGGTCGAGGAAGCGAGGTCCCAGGCTTGTGACCCTGAGCTCGTCCAGGAAGCTGCGCGGGCAGGCCCGCTCCACCCCTTCTGGACCCGCCTCGCTTTCCCCCACCCCTCTCTCACCTTCCACCCCCCCCACTGATATGATCTATCCAGAGTTTGTAGATCCGCAGGGGGGTGTTTTGCAGGATTTTGCGATTCTGGAAGGCGCGAGTGATGTCGTCGTCGATGGGTCGTGTACGAGGCCTCCGATTCGCGATCTTGCTCGCGCATCCTTTGCTGGAGTGTTTCTTCAGGCTGGCTCTGATGAGGTAGTTGCACGCTTTCGAGGGCCGTTTTGGCCTAGTCCCCCTCAGACCCCTCAGGCTGCTGAACACGTGGGTATCGTTGCTATAAGTTTTACCACTGGACAGCTGGCTCATCAGATAAAAGTGTGGTCCGATTGTTTGGGTCCTGTTAGGTACCATTACATGCCAGCTGCCCAGCAAGTCTCCTCCAGAAATAAGTGTGCGGGGCTTCGTAGGGGTTTTTGGGAGATAGAGGGATCGAAAAACGTCGGTCCCTGCACCCACACCCCTGCCCGCCGCAGTATGGAGGTAATCGATAACCTTCCGCATGATGAGTGGAGGATCGCGAACGCTAATTTTTAAGCGGATCGATTCGCAAAGGAAGCTCTTGCGATGCATGCCCAGGAACCTCAAGCCTCCTGGGATGACTTGAGCGCCCTGATTGGCAAGGCTCGTGCTGTGGCTCGGGTGACGGGCTAGGTTATGCCCCTCTTCCCGTTTTCCCAGTTCCCTGAGCGAATGAAGGTTCCTCGGCCAAGAAGTACGGGTGCGCACCGTCGGCATGCCTGGACGGCTGTGCCTGGCGCACCCGGGTCGTTCATTTGTCATGATTGTCATGCACGTCGTACAGGTACGAATGCGGCTTCTCTTGATATGTCGGGGTGCCGTGGAAGGAGACAGAATTTCTCATTCCTCGCTCGCCCGACGCTCGGACACGACCTGGTCTATACACGGCTCTCGTCTGGTCCCAATATTGTATTTTGCAGGCGGTGTGGCGCCTACAGCACAGAGCGTCTCAGCCGCCAGTTGGAGAAGCAGTGTCGTGGATATGTTGTATCCTCTGCGTGTAAGTGCCGCCTGAATCGTATGCTCCGTGGCCTGCACCCCCAGTCCAATCGTGCTGCCCCAGGTGTTGTGCTCCATATCTTAACTGATGTGGAACGACAGAGGCTTCTGGATACCCAACAGCGCCCCCAGCGTGCTGTGTGGTTTCAGCGCCCACGCGATGATCTTCCAGGCAGCAGTTTAATCCCAGGACTGGAGGGGTTGAGGCAGCGGATAGCAGCACGAGAGGAGGCGGCAGGTTCCCAGGATCACGTTTTGAGGGCCCCAGAGCAGCAGCGGTCTGC